GTTTGTGTTGGCTTTTGCCGTACAATCATAAAACTAAATGGTAAGTTTCTACTTTGTCGTATGTCGTCTCTTGTTCGAGGTCTTCTTCCAATTCCGGGTAGTTCTATTATTGTTCGGAATATTGGCTCTGATCTATTGAGTCGTAGAGACATTTCGATTAAATTATTATCGTATAACATTTTGAAAAAGTTTGTCTAAAGTCTAATCTATTTTTGGTTAGCTCTAAGCTGTTAAGGTCTTATTCGAGACTTATGGTCGCACCAGATGAGTTAAAACCGATGTGGTTAACTCATAGAGTAATTTCGGATAGGGTACACCGTCTGCTCGTCCCGCTATCTTATTTTCGGCCGGATAGATTCGTGCAACTTCTTAGTCTAATACCGATCCTGATATTACTCTTATACTTTCTAGTCTCAGGGTGTTTAACTAGTCTCTGCTAGGCTCAATGATTCTAGGGTATACTGGTTTGTTGCGGCTGCTGAAGTTCTCTTGGAGAGACAACTAATTTCTAAGTTCAATTCAAATCTCTCTGGTGCTGAAATTACAAGTAATTTCAGCACTTACAAATAAGTGGGTTGTTAGTTAGATGGTTTATGATTGGTTAATATTAAATACTTTACAGTGGTAAAATATCCAATTTATCCAATCATAAAATATAGTTTAGATCAGGTTCCAGTGTGTGTGAGAGAAATAGAGTAAAGCTTCATGCAAATATCTTGCTCGGATGCAAAAACTTCTTGGGCTGTCTCCCATTCGCCCGCCTTTTCTATTTTAATAGTTGTTTTTACTCTGCAGTACATAAATGTCCAGACATCCCCGCAATACATATTCACTTCTATTTAAACCCAAATACTCCTAAAAAACTGATCCCTCCGAACTTTGAGGCTTGAGGATCTGAATGATCCGAGCGGACAATGATACAAACTTTTTGGTGATTACAAAAAAACAGCTCCAAGGTGCTTGGCAAAGAATACTGCGCAGTTGCAACCGAGTTTTCTTGGTACGTCTTTCTGCACAGTTGAAATTCTTTTAAGCAACCAGCAGCATATTACGCCCGCCATTATTTTTAGAGGCGCTGTCGTTTTTCAATTTTAAGCTCGGACACCTTGCTCAAGTTGTCTGTCTGTGCAATATGAAGCTGACATACTTTTTTTCGACCAAAAAAACTATATATTCGTGGACAATAAACGCTAAAATATTGGGTGCGTTTTCCCTGGCCCTTCTTGCTTTTCTCGCCCAAAAAGCGCAAATCCGGCGCGCATCATCGAAAATTGAGTTCAAGTTTGTTTATTTTGACGGTTCACGGGATATGCTTACAGTATAAAATTTATACCCAAAGTTATTTTAAAAAAATTGAAATTTCAATGAGCTCATAATTTAAATGAAATGTGCTTTAAGTTACTTATACTTTATGCCACTTTGGGGCCCAATTTCGACGTGATATTAAACAAAATTGACGCTGAATTGCGCCCCTTGCAATGAAAATGACCTATTTGTTTAAAAAAATGTACAACCCCTCAATAATTTTTGACCCCCGCAAATTACCTACTAAAGAGCTCGTGAAAAGCAAATTAGTTCACGACAGTTGGTTTGTTCTTAATGCAAAACTTCATTGCATTATAGCAACATTAAGCTTTTTTTGTTACTCAAAGGTATAGGGTGCAGTGTTCAGATGTGCAAACACTTTCACAATAATGACAAGACTCGTATCAAACTTTGTGTTTCCTTTAAAATCAAGAAAATTGATCAAAGATGATTTTTATACACAATTTCAGCATAACATCTAAATTTACATCTTTTGAACGTTTCCCAAATTCAACCAAAATTATAACTAAATTTTCTGACTAACTACACAAACAATAGTGTTCATACGTTTGCTCTACTCAACATATTTTGAAAGACTTTTGGAAAAAAAATATAAAAATATATATATCCATTCTTTTCCATTCCCATTCCCTTGTCAAATTCGTTTCCAATTCCCTTGTAAAATTATCCAAAGAGGCGAAACTGAGCATCGGAACACTTGAATATCCTACCACTGATACAAAATCATTGACTATGACTAAAATCAAATGAAAAATAAGAAAATTAAAAAAAACCTTCAACAAATTGTTTTTGTGAAAAAAAAACAATAAAATCGCAATGAAAACCCAAATTTTTTACACTATTAAAATCCTAACAAAGAGCTTCCAGATTGCTAGAGAAAGCCAAATTTTTATTTAAGTTTTTCATGTGGAACTAATTTGTCTAAATTCGATGATCTAAGCTAGCCGAACATTTGTGTTATGTTAACGCCAGATGCGCCATATTTTTGATGGAAATGGAAATTGAAAGTGGTAAAAAAAGCCAAACATGCCGAGCAGAAACCCTTCATGCAAAAGATTCAAAAAATATTGTAAGTCAAAAAATTTTCAAGGCCCTTTTCCTACAGAATACACATACGCACACAGTTTTTCTTGGCCATCAAACGACGCAAAAAGAAGCCACTATACAGACATAAAATTGTGCGCCTATCCAGTGCACAGTTTGGGCTTGTAATGATTTTTTGCCTACATTCGAGCGAATAAAGCGAGCAGTCTTATTTTAAGTGAATTTAAAACAGTAAACATAGCTTTACAACGTAAAACTTAGCTTTAAAATGTAAAACATAGTTTCAAACGTAAAACTTAGTTTTACTCGAGTAACGTAAGTTCACTCTGAGTATTTTAGCGCTTTTTTGAAATTCAAAATTCAAAAAACTGCAAAAAAAAATTATTTCCTCAAAAATTGTTTTTCAATTTGCTTGTTTTACTATGACTGTTGAATATACATAACTACCAGTTGTTTTTGTTATGTATAGCTAGTAATGCGATCTAATAACGTTCGTGATAAATGAAAATTATCAAATTGGGCTAAAAATTGATAATTTTTTTAAATGTAGTTTTGGTTGCTTTATATAGCGTTTTCAGTGCAAAAATTTGAAGAAAACAAATTTTATCATTTTTATTTTATTATCTTTTTAAAATCAATTGTTGTCATTTATGCCTAATTCAATAAAATTTCAACGCGCTTCTATAGTTCTATCATCACACGACCTAGACGAAAAATATCAACTTGAATAAAAAGTCTGAGAATGGAATTGGAACATTCTGTGCTACTTGCATAGCAACTGGCTATCCTTGTTTGAATTTGTTTTTGTTTTGTTTCATGTTTTGTTGAAGAAATTTTAGATAAGAATTATTGAATTTCTGTTTGAGAAATTATTCAAAGTGTATAATCCTGGATTCCAGAGACAAATCTTCAAACATGTTCCAAAATGTAAGTGGATTCCGCTCATAAATTCCGCGGACTCCGCGTACTGATACCTGTGACGTAAATTTTGTCGGCACGTTTGATTTGCTGCGGTTTCCGCAACAAGCAAATAAAACCATTTGATCTGGATTGCGCAACTGTGAGTGGATTTCGCAAAAAAAAAAGTGGAATCCGCAAAATTTAAGTGGAATCCGCAAATGCAAATAAAAGATATAATTTGAAGCGCTACATACATAGAAATATGTAAATGGAATCCGCAAACAAAAAGTGCATATGTGTTCTTATTTATTTGTGGATTCCACAAAGTGTTCCGAATTCCGCAAATGCTGTTGCGGTTTCCGCAAATTTGCCTATTTTTGGAGCAATTTTGAGCGGTACACTGTTTTAGGTATTTGTTTGTAGAATCCAAAATAGCAAAGAAGGTCAAAAAAAATTAGCAATGTTGTGAATATTACGACGAATCTGATTTTGGCCTGTTGCATTTCTTGACCAAAAACAATGTGAGCGACTTTTTTCAAATGCTCGAGCAAAATAACCACTGGAAAATATGTAAGATTTGAGCGGTTTGAGCGGTTTTTTTAGACAATTACGCTCAAAATCTTGCTTCAAAATGAGCGGTTTGAGCGGTTTTTGAACGGTTTATCTAAAAAAACCGCTCAAAAACCGCGCAAGATTTGAGCGGTTTTTTCAGACAATTACGCTCAAAATCTTGCTTCAAAATGAGCGGTTTGAGCGGTTTTTGAACGGTTTATCGCAGATAAACCGCTCAAAACCGTTCAAATCTTGTGCGGTTTTTGAGCGGTTTTTTTAGATAAAACCATTCAAAAACCGCTCAAACCGCTCATTTTGAAGCAAGATTTTGAGCGTAATTGTCTAAAAAAACCGCTCAAACCGCTCAAATCTTGCTTCAAATTAGGTGAAAAATCTCGACTCGGGTTACAATGCACAGAATGCACAGTTTGGCCTCGTAAGGTTTGTTGAGTCTAACAAATACGGAAGTATTTTCAGTGAATCAAGTAAAAATATCTTTGTGATTCGAATTGATCCAAGAAATCTAACAAAAGCTGTATTAACAAATTTTCCTAGGTGTTAAAACTGTATGACTGATTTATAAGACTTTCTTAAGGGATGGACTTTCAAAAAAGTTTCCGAAGAAATGGGTTTTCTGAGCTTTCCCATATCCCTAAAACAAACCGAGTTCGATGCAAGCAAACTTAAAAAGCTCTCGCCTCGAAATCCGGACATAAAAAGCGTTTTTAGGCCTTTTTGAAACAATTGGCTAAAAAACTGCGTTTTAATGGCGCGCGCTCTCCCCTCGAAATTAGTATCTATTAGCACCGGAGGCGCCTTTTGAAAGCCTTCAAGGTCAGTCTGCAAAAAAGGGATGTCTGATAATAGTACAAAGGGGCACCCTTTGGCTCGGTAACGGATCGAATCCCTGAGGGGTGGGGGGCGTCCTACTCGCCTCTAAATCCACTACTGCCTGTAAGGTAGATTGTTCATGCAGGATAGAAGGGCATAGGGTAGAATGATAAATGGTAGAATGAAGAAGAGCAGAATGATAAAAGGTAGAAAGAAGCAGGGTCGAATCTTTTGCTGCCCCCTCGTGAGCATACTGAAAAATTGAAATGCTTTCAAATAACAATTAGCTTAATATTAAAAAATATAACATTATTATGTATACAGTGAATAGCTTTTCCTTATAAAAATTGTGGAACGAATATTTAAATTGGTACTATGGACAACACAGTAATTGATAACTTGGACCTTTTTGATGTTTATTAGTTTAATGAATTATATCCTCTTCGTGATTCTTGAGCTCTATTCTTTCGTCCTATCTCCACTTCGTACAAAAATGATGGAACCACTCCAAGAACAAACAGAGAGGTAAGAATATAGAAAGGCACGTCGTAAGAGTTCAAGTGTTGGTACAAAATTCCGACGCAATTCATAGTGATGAAGGTAAGGATTCCCGCAATTGATAGTTCAAGAACCACTGCAAAATCACGATGCTTCTTCAAAGTTTCCTTGATCAAGAAAAAATCAGCGGTATTCAAGATGGCTCCGCTAAAACCTAGAGAAAAGAAGTAAGCGGTCTGGTAATACTGGTCGGTAACGAACAAACTAATAGCTGTACTGACAAAGAAATAAATTTTTGCTATTTGACTCAGCCGAGCTGCTGAAATAACATTGTTAGCAGTTAGAATGCCAACAGAAACTCGCATAACTGCCTGAATAGAACCATTGATGATGAGGGCTAAAGCGCCTAAGTTCGCGTTTATGTCCAAAGATTTCATTCTGACAGGTTGGTGCACCATTATTGTATCATAAGCTGTCGCTGTTAAAACATAGGATGACGTTGCTAAAATATATCCAACATTTGTCAGCACGTACTTAACTGGCTTTTCGGCTTCTTCAGCCGCTGGTTCCTGTTGCATACTTGCTGATCGAATGCTCGTCAAAGCTATAGTTGGAACGTCTTCGTCATTTGATGTCGCATCGTTTTCTGCTTCATTGTTATCTGCTAGTTCGCCTTCGTTCCCATCTGTGTTGTTACTCCTTGGATTGGTGTGATGGTCGCTGTCTGGTTCGTCCAAAAGAGGTTCCATGTTGCTTAGTTTTTCGTCACGTGTCTTTATTCCAAGAAACTTTCGAACCGGAGGCAAAAGTGTGAACGCAAAAATGACAAGACTCAGATACATGATGGTTGTTAAACGCTGCGTCACTCGCCATCCGTAGATGGGTTTGACGAAGAAAAACAACATGCTAGCAGGTACGATTCCCAAGCCGGCACCCGCAAGCATGAAACCATTAAAGAGGAATATCTGGTTGTCTGTGAACATATAATAGAGTCCATTCCAGCAACTGACAAGCTGGATACTACACCCAAGTCCGACCATGATTCCATTTGAGATCAACATGGATGCATCATCGCTGGAAACCGAACTCCAGATGCTTCCAATAAGTAGAAGGGGTAGGGCCAGAGCGGCAATCGAGTAGGGTTTGAATCCTAGCTTGTCCAGGATGCGCTGAAAGATGGGTGCCGGGATGAGAGTGAGAGTGAAGGTCAGACTGTTGACCAAAGAAGCGAAGCTCGGGGTCAGGATGTTGTCGTCCAGCCACGCTGTTTGGAGAAGTCCAGTTGTATATCTAAACACGAAAAAAAACTTTAAGTTCATTTTACGTAACTGATTGTATTTATTAACTTTTTTGGTAGATTCCATGAAAAGAGGGGCGGATCCAGGATTTTCTCGAGGGGGGGTGGGGGCGGATTTTCGAAAAAATTTTGAAAATTTTGACTTTTTGTTTTAGGTCGACCAAATTGTTTTTCCGGGCTCCTGTAAAGCAGTAAAAAGACGCTGTTTGGGCCAAAACTTTTACGCCGCAGGCAAATTTTTGAAAAACAAACAGGTCAAAAAAGCCGTTTTTGGGCACTTTTTGGAAAATTTTGACAAAAAAAATGTTTTTTTTTTGGCGTGCGCTCCCCCTCAAAATTAGCGCCTTTAAAAAAGTTTTTAAGGTCGGTCGACCAAAAATGGATTTCCTAAAAAGTACCAAAGGGATGACCCTTTGGGTAGGCAGGGGGTCGAATACCTACGCCATTAGGATGGTGTTTTGGCCAGCTTTCTTGGAAATCTGAATAATGAGTTGTACTCACTGGATGCTTGGACATATTGAGTACACTCCAGCCAGCACAATAGCTACGTAATAATCAGACCAATCCGACTGGTAATCTCTACATTTCGCCGATTTCATTTTTTAGAGAAATTTAGAAATTTTAAATTCAAAATAAAGTTGCCAAAAGCACGATCTTAAGAAAAATTGGACTGTGTGACGTTTATCAGACGAGTGACTCGATGAAACCGGAACTGTGTGTTTACTTCGAATCAGCTTTGATTGAGTTCATGGTTTGAAGTCAATCTTTAGAACTACCTTGCCCTTTCCTGAACAAAAGAGACCCTTCAGCCATAAGGACAATCATGCTTTAATTAATACAAGTCAAGAACTTCAAATAAAGATGCTTTTAAAGGTCAAATATTTAATCAACTCAAACCTTTCATCATACGAAACTTCCTAGTGCGAAATGGAACAAAGCAAAGCACTGGAATCATGTCAAATGTTTGGAGTTGCCAGTTGCTCGATTAACGAAAAGTGTTGTTTGGGACAAAAAAACTGAATTATTTTGCGCGTAGAGCAGAAGGTTCTAAACACCAAAAACTCCCCTATAGAAATATTTTATCATACTACCAATCAATACCGGATTAAGAATAAGGGGGGAGGTGGGGCTACGAACTCCTCTTTCTGCAAGGATTCGACCCCATGCCGACCCAAAAACTCTCCCCTTTGTACTATTCCGAGATAGAAGGTTTACTATTCTAAAATAGAAATTTTTCTGAATCTAACAGTTATGTCAAATTTTCCAAAAATTGCGTTAAAACGCCTTTTTTGGC